TCTGCTCTCCTCTCACTATATTATGCACTAATTTACCCCTATCTTAATTATGGTATCTGTGCATGGGGGTCTACGACTGCAAACCACCTTAAGCCCATCATCACACAGCAAAAATCTGCTATCAGAATGATAACTAACTCAGCTTTCAGACAACACTCAGCTCCCTTGTTTAAATCCCTAAACTTGCTAAATATTAACTCCCTCCACACATTCTCTTGTGTCAACTACATTTACAAAACCCTGTTCTTAAAAGCAAACCATGCTCTGAAACTCTCCCTGGACAGATGTAATATGACCCATTATCACCACACCAGAAATAAATATCTCTTTTATATCCCCAGGGTCAAACTTAATCTGTGTAAACACTCTATGCAAATTAAGGGACCTAGTTTATGGAACTCACTCCCTAGTGAATTGAAAAACTGTAAAACTTTTGCCTTATTTAAAAGCAAAACCAAAAAGTACCTAACTTCATCTTCTTAGTTTTCCTACACTGAGCTTTAAATTTGCTCTGTACCTAGTGTTACCCAATCTCCTAATTTTTATGTAATTTCAAACAACCTTATCATTGTGTTCATTGCTGTCTTCTTTTATGTGCTAGCCATATGCTGTATTGTGACTACCAATTTTTGTCAACTACCATTCAAGCTGTCATTGCAACCAATCTTATATTGTTTCTGCTGTATTGTGCCTACCAATTTTTTTGTCAACTACCATTCAAGCTGTCATTGCAATCAATCTTAGCGACCTATGTGCTTTAATATACTGTACCTACAATTTTCTCTCATCTTTTTTTTCATTTCATGTAATCTGTTATCATTTTTCGTCTATAATTTTGCAAGTATTTACCTCCTTAAAATTTTCTTAGATTAAGGACCTGCCCGAAACGCTGCGCGTGCTAGTGGCTTTACAAGACTGTAATTACCATATTTGTATCCTCACATTCCTTATGTACATTCTTGTATATGCATAAATAAATAAATAAATAAATAAATAAATAAATAAATAAATAAATAAATAAATAAATAAACAATTCTGAAGTTAGAAAGCAACGCATAGGCTCCTTGCACAATATTCTTTATGTGGTCCTCAGGTGATAGTTTTCTATCTAGAACCACCCCTAGATCTCTTTCTTTATCAGAATTCTTTAAAGATTTCTCACATAATATATAGGTTGTATGGGGTCTATGTTCTCCTATTCCACATTCCATAACATGACATTTATTAACATTAAATTCCATTTGCCAGGTGGTGCTCCATATACTTATTTTGTCCAGGTCTTCTTGAAGGGCATGACAATCATCTAAATTTCTTATCCTTCCTATTATCTTAGCATCATCAGCAAACATGTTCATATAATTCTGTATACCAACTGGTAGATCATTTATGTACACAATAAACATCACTGGTGCAAGAACTGAACCCTGTGGTACTCCACTTGTGACATTTCTCCATTCCGATACATATTCACCCCTATATTCACGATACATATTCACCGTCACCCCTCCAATATTTTCCAGTTTCCAGAACAACCTCTTATGTGGAACTCTGTCGAAAGCCTTTTTTAGGTCCAGATAGATGCAGTCAACCCAACCATCTCTTTCCTGTAATATCTCTGTGGCTCGATCATAGAAACTGAGTAAATTCGATACACAGGATCTTCCAGATCGAAAACCATACTGTCTGTCTGATATTGTATCATTTCTCTCCAGGTGTTCTACCCATTTAGTTTTGATTAGCTTTTCCAATACTTTCACTATTACACTTGTCAATGATACAGGTCTATAATTGAGGGGGTCTTCCCTGCTGCCACTTTTGTAGATTGGAACTATGTTAGCCTGTTTCCACACGTCTGCTACGATTCCTGTACACAGGGATGCCTGAAAGATCAGGTGAAGTGGAATGCTGAGCTCAGATGCACATTCTCTCAGAACCCATGGTGAAACGCCATCTGGGCCAGCTGCTTTGTTCTTCCCGAGCTCCTTTAGCATATTTTCCACTTCATCTCTAGACACCTCTATCCGCTCTATGTTGTTCTCTGGAATTCTTATTGTGTCTGGTTCTCTGAAGATTTCATTTTGTACAAACACACTTTGGAACTTTTCATTTAATGTTTCGCACATTTCCTTTTCATTTTCCGTGAATGTTTCCCATTTTCAACCTCTGGATATTATCCTTTACCTGCAATTTGTTGTTTATGAATTTGTAGAATAGGCCCGGTTCTGTTTTACATTTATCTGCTATCCCTTTTTCAAAATTTCTTTCTGCCTCTCTCCTTACTGCTGTATAGTTGTTTCTCGCATCTTTGTATCGCTGGTATGTTTGGGGGTTTGGCCTCTTCCTATACTGATTCCATTTTTGTGTCTTTTGGTCTCTTGCCCTCTCACAATTTCTGTCGAACCAATCCTGTTTTCTGGCCCTGCATCTCTGTTTTGGTATGAATGTTTGTGTGCCTTCCTCGTATAGTTTTAAAAATTTGGCATACATTTCATTTACTTCCCTGCCTAGCAACAATTCTGTCCAATTACACTCATTAAAAAAATTTCGAAGTTCCCCATAGTTGCCTCTCCTTAAATCGAGTTTATCAACTGTTTCAATGTCCCCATTTTCTTCTAGATGATATCTTAAAGCATATTTAATGTCTAACAGGACGTGATCACTCTTTCCCAAGGGAGGAAGGTACTGGATGTCAAAAATCTCTTCTTCTTTCCTGGTGAATACTAGATCCAGTACTGACGGTACATCTCCTTCCCTCAATCTTGTGGCTTGCTTTATGTGTTGATACAAGAATGTCTCCAGAATGAGGTTCACAAATCTGCATGTCCAAAAGTCCTCCGTTCTTGCTTCACAGGCCTCCCAGTCTATTGCTCTAAAGTTGAAGTCCCCCAGTATCAACAGTCGTGATTTATCTTTATCTGCTTGTACAATAATATCTCTCATGACCATTATGAGGCCCTCTCGTTTGTCATCCAGTTCTTCCTTTGTCCACGTGTTGCTTGCTGGTGGGCTGTAGGTATTTACAATTATCAGCTTATCATCCTGATTCCAGACCTGCAATGCCATTATGTCAATATCTCGAGGGTTTTCAAATATTAACTCTTTTACCTTCAGGTGTTTTTTCACCAGTACAGCCACTCCTCCTCCCTTCCTAGTTTTCCTGTCACGTCTCCAAACTGAGTAGCCTCTTGGGAATATGACTTCATTTATTATATTTCCTTCAAGTTTCGTCTCTGATAATGCAACAATATCTGGGACCCTAAGCTGGATTATATCTTGCAACTCCAAAGTTTTTGACCTCACTCCATCTATGTTGGTATATACAATTTTCAGGAACATGTTCCCTTTTCCTTTGCTCTTTACTCCCCCTTCCACTACTGATCTTGTTGCTTTGTTTTTATGTACCATTTCACAAGCTTTCCAGTCCCTGTCACTTTGTAAAAAAAAGAATTTGTCTTCTTCATTTCTATCCCCATTTAGACGTGTTGCCTCAATTAGGTTCATTTTCAGCTTTTATCTGTCTTCCTTGGAGAGGTCTTGTCTTATTGACCAAAATTTGCCAACCTCATCACTCTGCAGTTTCCTGGCATTTCTTAGCACTTCCATCATGTTTTTCACTCCATTAAACGTCACCCTTAAGGGGCGGTTCTTTTCTTTCTCATATTTTCCTATTCTAAAATCACTGACATTTTCCTTTGAGCCTTCTCCTAAACCTACTATTTTCTCTATGATTTTCATCTCTTCTGCCGCTCGGTCCACCCTAGATGAAATTTCCTTCTCTAAACATCCAAAAATGATTATGGACTTAGTTCTATCTGCAGTGTTTTGTACCAGTTTACTGTTGGTAACCAGTTCTTTCCTAATTGCTTGCCTAATTTCTGCTTCTTGTTGGTCATTTCTGGTTTTGACTTCCGAACACACTTCTTTGATAGTCTCTTTCTCTTTTACAACTTCAGCATATGTCGCTTTTATTTCTTCTTTATACTTTTCTAGTTCTTTATTCACCTCCTCTATGTGAGTTGTCAGTGAAGTTTCCAGTTGGAGATCCTTACCTAACTCTATGTTTGCCCTTAGGCTTGCTTGGAGTTGTTCACCATATGAGTCTATCTTCTTGTTTATTTCTTCAAAGTCACCACACTTCACTTTCCATGCCTCATTTTCTTTCACTAGTTCCTTGATTTGCTCCTCCTGATTTGTTACCTTGTCTGTTAATGCAGTAATAATCTTACCTTGTTGAAGCATACTCCCTTTTAGAGTGCAAAGCTCACTCCAAAGAGCTCCATTGTCCTCTTCCAATTTAAGCACTTTTTCTTCATACTTCTTTTGCATATCCTCAATTATCTCTAACCTGCCAAGAACACCTCCTTTCCTTATATCTTGTGGTGAGAATCCTTTGAAACCATCATCTGTTGGTGTGTCTACATTCTCAGTGGGGGTGGTGGCGGCGGCCATCTTTGTTTTTGTTCTAGACCAAAACAAACTTTTCCACTCGGCTATTTTCACTCACTTTTACTTGTTTATTGTATTTTATTTGCTTTTACTCTTCCCTGAACCTTTATGTAACCTGGGACACCACTGTAGCCCTCAACCTGTGCCCAATACTTAGGTAATTCGATATTTCCAGGAGCTTGCTGCAGTGTGACTTCTGCCTCCTCCAGCTCATACACCATCTCACACACATCTCACACACGTGTGTGTGTGTGTGTGTGTGTGTGTGTGTGTGTGTGTGTGTGTGTGTGTGTGTGTGTGTGTGTGTGTGTGTGTGTGTGTGTGTGTGTGTGTGTGTGTGTGTATATATATATATGTATGTATGTATATATATGTGTGTGTGTATGTGCAGAAATAATATTAATAAAACAATTAACATCGTGTAGTGTACTCTATATATCAAAATATATTGCTTTGAAACCCATATATCATTCACTAAAAAAAATTGGGCTACTCTTATTACAAATTCGCTAGTTTTAGGCCGTCAGCTCGCTACTTTCTGCGGTTTGGACCTGGCAACACTGTCCTGAGACTCTGTTAAGGCAGCCAGGGGTTACCAAATCCCAGTTGGGGCTTATCAAGACATTTTGTTGAGTCTTGACCCTGGAAATCTTATCTAATCACACCTCTGACGAGAGGATGCTGAGGTAGACAGGATTCTCATAGGACTCAGAGGAGAAGTAAGGTGTGGAAGAGGATGGCGGGGCCGACAGGACTCTTCTCCTACAGCAACTTGGTGCACGCCATCGCTGGCGGCTGTGTGAGTCCTCGCCACCATATTATTCCAAGCGGTATATCATGTGGCTTTGTAGAATGATCAGGGATCACAACAACAACAAAAAAGAGTATTTAACACAGTGGGCATAATTTTTTGTGTTAAATTATTAACCTGTGTGTAGGGTGACCTGACCCAAGGTCAAGGGCTGTGGGCATCCACCATTAGGGTAATGTGTCTCGGGGTCTGCTTAAATCCTGTATAGGTATGGTACGGTCGACTTTGTTCTCGACTCACAATTGGGAATACAGTATTGTGTTGGAAATTAGAACTGTATTGGGTTCTAATCTCAGGTGGGGTAGAAATGGTTGGGCACATGACCTATTACCTAATGCTGCTGTTCACCTAGCAATAAATAGGTACCTAGGAGTTAATCAGCTTGTTGTGGGATTGCTTCTTGGAGAGTACGGGTTGGGTCGGGTTAGTAGTTTTGCCACTATGCCACAGTCTGTGGCGTAGTGGTAAGACACTTGCCTGGCGTTCCGCGAGCGCTTTGTCCTGTGTTCGTATCCTGGCCGGGGAGGATTTACTGGGCGCAATTCCTTAACTGTAGCCTCTGTTTAACTCAACAGTAAAATGGGTACTTGGTTGTAAAAACCAAGTCAGTCAAAACCTTCGTGGCAGTCGTATTCCAGGGAACTTAGGATTAAGGACTTGCCCGAAATGCTACACCAACTAGTGGCTGTACAAGAATGTAACAGCTCTTGTATATATAAAAAAATATAAAAATTTGACCTTGGGGGGAATCTTGATATAAGTCCAACTTGTATATGTACACTGGCTGCCTGTTGCCTGACAATGAATTATTATTATTACATGTGCACCAGTTTCCTGGTTTCTGCGAGGTGCAGCAATATGCAGCAGTGTCCATAAACACCCAGGAAAACAAGCTGATGATATCACTGTGATGTCACACACACCTTGCACACAGTATTTCACCTGTTGTTATCTTCAAATAAAGTCACCACTCATCTTGGTGTTTGTCAAGATTGTTGTCACCACCTTGTACTCTCTTCATCCATTTAAGTTTCATTGTTCCTCCTTAACATGTTCTAGATAAAGAAGTTCATTTAAGCTTCAATGATGGTTTCAGGTGAATTATGAAAATCTTTCACTCTATTGTATTATTATTGTTATCGGAGAGAGAGCTTTAATATTTATTTCGTGTGCTCATTCCTGTATTATATAGTATTGTACGTACTGTACTTGAATTTCAGGGATCTGCCGTGGCAATGTCGGCTCTCTTTCCTCTCGACACAGTCAGAACAAGACTGCAGTGTAAGTATACTCTATATGTATATGAATATTTACTCTATTGTCCTTAGATACATATTGGATTTTCCTAAAGGGGGTCCGTCTAATTACCACAAGCTACCACAAACTACACAAACTTCAGAAAGCGTCCTGGCAATACGTTAGTAATGAATAAATATGATATATTAAGTTAGGCTGACCTAACCTAACCTAACCTAACCTATCCTAACCTAACCTAACCTAACCTAACCTAACTTAACCAAACCTAACCTAACCTAACTGAAGCTTGGATCGTCGACTTGATTTGGCGTCACCAGCTTTTTATTTTCGTCTAATTTCTTTATAAAAAGATACTTTTTCAGATTAAAATTATGTTTTTTCGTGTTGTACATTCAGCACCAACATTATAATGAGTAAATATATCATATTTATTCATTACTAATGTATTGCCAGGAAGCTTTCTGAAGTTTGTGTAGTTTGTGGTAGCTTGTGGTAATTAGATGGACCGCCTAAAGGTGGCATGGACCTCTTGATTGTCTCACTCTTGATCTTCACCCTTGATCTTCACCCTGATCCACACCACACCTTCACCCTGACCCACACTACACCTCACCCAGACTGACACTACACCTCACCCAGACTGACACTACACTTTCACCCTGACCCACACCACACCTTCACCCTGACCCACACCACACCTTTACCCTGACTCACACTACACCTTCACCCTGACCCACACCACACCTTTACCCTGACTCACACTACACTTTCACCCTGACTCACACCACACCTTCACCCTAACTCACACTACACCTTCACCCTGACACACTACACCTTCACCCTGACACACTACACCTTCACCCTGACTCACACCACACCTTCACCCTGACCCACACTACACCTTCTCCCTGACTCACACCACACCTTCACCTTGACCCACACTACACCTTCACCCTAACTCACACTACCCTTTCACCCTGACTCACACTACACCTCACCCTGACCCACACTACACCATAATTTCTAAGTAGATTTAATACTGTATGTCTTGAGGCATTAGAATTGGATAGAATTTTAGATCGTACCAACAGAGATGTTAATTGTAATTTCAGTATCTTAAGTTTGAACCAGTTTGAAACCCTTGACTGACCAGTAGATCTTTACTTAATTTTCCTTATCAACAAGAATTCCTCCCTTTGGTCAACTGTAAAGTCTTGTATTAAATTGAAAATATGGCAGATTTTACAGCCAACTGCAAGAACAAATGTTAGTTTATTGAGTGGTGTTAATAAGATGGCCTCCACTGTAGCGTGGGGTTATAACAGCTTGGCATGTCCAAGCTGTTCTGTGTATCTGTTCTTGTATGTTGCTACTAAGTCCTGTTCTGTGGTTGCAGTGGAGGAGAGCCAGACGAGCCGGAACACATTTGTCATGATGGCCGAAGTGTACAAGCAGGAGGGACTGTGAGTTATGACATTTTTGTAAAATCACGAGTTGTATTTAACCCTTAAATGGGGCCTATCACGATCTTGCAACTACCTCTTGTGCTCAAGCTGCCAAATGTAATTATTTTACATTAGTTTTGTGGACCTTAATGTAGTCATGTGGATCACAGTGTAGGAGTTTTAATTAACTGAGCCATTTAAGAGTCAAGATTAACATGCTAAATATAATTTGTCTAAACTGAATTTGTAGTCATGAGAATTTAAAAATTTTATATTTAAATTCTCTATCTAGTAATGTATATGACAGAATATTAGTTGGTTATGTGGTAATTACTTGTTTTGAAATATAAGACTTTGCATTACATTGTGAATACAATACTATTTATGTTACTGTTGTATCAAATTTGTTTTGTTTGAAATAAAGTACAATACCAATATTGTTCTGTAATTAAAACTTAACATTTCCATCATAGATATTTTCATTAATGTTATTTTATTCAACAGAATTATTGATGCCAGAAGACCTTTTATAGGAAATTAAATATTTGTTGTAAGAGTATGAAACAGGTTTCCTAATATCCATGGGCAGAAGTAGCATTTTATGTTGCTCCTGTAACCATAGACAAAATTTAAGTATGGTAATGTGTCAGTTGGTCAGTGATCCATTGAATGAATTAAGTAGTGTCAGGTGATCAGAGAGCCACAGACAGAACCAAGTAGTGTCAGGTGATCAGAGAACCACAGACAGAACCATGTACTGTCAGGTGATCAGAGAACCACAGACAGAACCAAGTAGTGTCAGGTGATCAGAGAGCCACAGACAGAACCAAGTAGTGTCAGGTGATCAGAGAACCACAGACAGAACCAAGTAGTATCAGGTGATCAGAGAGCCACAGACAGAACCAAGTAGTGTCAGGTGATCAGAGAGCCATGGACAGAACCAAGCACTGTATGCGGATCAACAGTGTATGCTGATGGTGAAGATGTGATCATGTGTATATCATGTCGACACATTAGTGTGTTGACTCACTTGGTGGGAAATACACTTGCTACTGATCAAAAGTATGATTGCATGTGACTCAAAAGCCAGCAAAGCTCAGTTCTTGACTGGCCTGTAGTGGTGCTGAGTGGAAGGTTGAGATACAGGGGGATGAAATGGAAAATTAACAAAGAGAATATTTTAGCAACTAGGATGTTTATGCTTTGTTATTCCCAGAGGCATTTTTTGTTTAACCCGTCGTAACAAATTGTATGGGTGCTTCTTACAGCATTCACAGTGGGAATGTGACAAGACTAACTCTTATCAGGAGCTAGAATCGCGTCATTCTTTGACTGCATCAGGTGGTATTATTTTTTGTTTTGATGCATTAAACTCTTTCAGTGACAATGATTATACTGTATTGTATTTTTGTATTTCTCCCCTCTCTTCAGTGCTGGCTTGTACCGTGGTCTTCTTCCTGTGATAGAATCATTATATTGCTCCAACTTTGTTTATTTTTATACCTTTCATGGATTAAAACGAATAGCTAACGAAGATAAGTCTGCACTACGAGATCTCCTACTGGCAATGGTTGCGGGTTGGTGAATTATATCAATAATTAGTCAATTGTGAAATATATTTCAAACTTTGTTTTTAAATTAAAATTTTTGAGTAATTTGGAAGCCTTTTACATCCAGTTTGTGATAGTATTTGCAGTTCATGATTCCTAGCTGTGAAGGGTCTTGGTCAGTCATGCCACATTAAAGTGCTTAAATTGTTTGTCTCACCATTGCAGGATCAATCAATGTAATGACCACCAATCCGCTATGGGTTGTGAACACTCGCTTGAAGATGCAGGGAGCTAAGGTCGTTACCACTCAGCGCACTGCGTCACGCAGGTATAAGGGTATGCTAGGTGAGTCTAATTCATGTTAAATTTTAAAATCTAACTCTTAAATTAACTACTTTACAAGTATTAGGAATTGTGAATAAAGTAGCTAGGTTACTTCAGTACTCTTTCCCTCAAGATAAGCAACAAGTCTACCATGGCACTACAATATCTATTGAGTTTCTTATGAAAAGTAATGTTAATGTTTTGCAAAGATTTTTTGTAATATGTTTAAAGTTAAATAATTGTCATTTCGTGTAATTTACAGACGGATTAATACATGTTGGACAAGAAGAGGGGTTATCTGGTCTCTGGTCGGGTTCTGGTTCTTCCCTGATTCTCACGGTCAATCCTGCAATCCAGTTCATGGCTTACGAAGCAATGAAGCGTAACATGCAGAGAGTATATGGCACCAGGCAGCTTAACTCCATTGTGGTGTTTGCTGTTGGTGCAGCAGCTAAGGCTATTGCTACAGTCCTGACTTACCCCATCCAGCTGGTACAAGCCAAGCAGAGGGTAAGTAACATTACTTCTAGATTACATGTAAATTATTTTGGAATTATAAATTATTTTACTCTTATAATTAGCTTTTTATGCAAACATGGTCACCATTTGCACAGTCCCTGTGGTGCAGTGGCAAGACTCTCGTCTGGTGCTTTGCGAGCGCTTTGGCCTGGGTTTGTATTTTGGCTGAGGAGGATTGACCGGGCGCCAATCTTTAATTGTAGCCTCTGTTCACCCAGCAGTGAATGGGTATCCAGTTGTTAAATGATTTGGCGGATCGTATTCTGGGGAAAATTAGGACTAAGGACCTGCCCGAAATGCTATGCGTGCTAGTGGCTGCACAAGAATGTAAGAACTCTTGTACAGTATATACTTACAGTGGAACCTCGAATGACGAGCGACTCCAGTTACGAGCTTTTTGAGTAACGAACGAGCCGCTTGCAGAAAATTTGTCTCGATTGACGAGCTTTCACTCGATTAACAAGCAAACCACATGGTGCTTCCTAGTGTTCCCGCTGGTTCTCGGACGCCTCTGAAGACAGTGTTGTTGTTGTTTCACAAGACGAGCGTTTCACATGACGAGCTCAGTGCCAAAACGGATTAAATTCATTAATCGGGGCACCACTGTATATATATAAAATAAAAAAATGTACACATACACACTCAAATCACAATAACATGGTATATCTGTGAGAAAATCTTGGAAGAGAACGGTGGAATCGATCCTGCTGTCCTGCTCCGGAGATGTTCTTGTAGTCACCATATCATTCACTAGGATTAATGGGGAGACTGTCTCAGGGCTTAAAACTGCATAACTTTCCCTACCAACTAAAAATTTGTCTTCTATTTGTTGATAATTGATAAAATTATTTGATATCTTAAATTTTTATTGGATCTGAAGGCATTGATTAATGTCATGTGTCAGACTACAGTATTTGTTAATCAGCCACAAATTGTGTCAGTTTCATGAGCTTATACTCACCTCTTGAAAATTTTGGCAGCAATATTGTTCTCTTGTGATTGTGTTGTTGAAATTAATGTGCCAAATAAGATTTAAGAAAATAATTATTAGTTGTTGTACAAAAATAATGCTGATTGTTGAATAGTGCCCACGTGTTTAATCATTTCAGCACTCATTAAGGTGTATGTTCCTCTGTAATTAGTAATGATTATGCACTATCAGGCAGGAAGACATGCAGCACTTACTATCTTGGGAAAACGTCTTATATAGAATTTTCAAGTTGGGGAAACATCTTGTATAGAATTTACAATTTTTTTGTTTTAAGATTTGGGATGTACAGTAATGATGAACATTCCAGGTCACTGACAGGGAATTTGGGTATCCAGCATCAATTTTGATAGACAATTAAGTGACTTGTAGGGTAATTGGATGACCATGAATCACCATCAGTTGTCTAATGACTTCCCCCTTCCCCCTTTTCCTTGCTTAAGTCAAGTATAATACAGATGAGTAACTTGTTGTCTCATTGTAGCATGGCCACAACTATGAAGGATTGCCACAGAAGGCTGGTCTTATTCCCATCATGCTGTATATTATCAGGTAAGGGGATATCTTTAATGTTGTATATACCGTACAGGGTGTTGCCTAAGTCTGGCATCATGTTCCAAAAGTCTGGCATCGTGTTCCAAATATCTGGAATTGTGTTCCCAAAATCTATAATAATGTCCTATAGGTCTGAAACCATGTCCCATCAGTCTGGAACTATACCCTATGTCTATATTTATCACTCCTGACACCATTTACAGTGTGGTCTCTGAATACATCTTCTACTTTTGTGTATCATTTATATTGGTGGATGCATTTAGTATATTTTGTACATAAAAATTCAGTAAGCAATAATAAAAGGCGGTTTCATCATTTGATCCAACATTGCTGATTTACGGAACATGGCTCCCCACTTAAGGGATACCCAGTAGATTTAGATGATGGATGAGTGCAGTGAGTGTGTGATCACAAGAGGTACTAAAGTAATTGAAGGGTGAGTGGAAAGTCTGGGGAGGATAAAAGGGATAGAAAAACACATTTAGAGGGGCAGTTGTAGAGGTCACCTGCCCAAAGGCAATTCCCAGAAAATGAAAGATGCTAGCTATTTGTGTGAAGGGCATGGGGTACATAGCTTGTACTTTGTTATTTTGGTATAGTTGGGAGAAATGATTAAATTATGTAATATTTATAGCTTAGTTGAAAGGAACTTCAGTTTATAGCCCTTCATTGAACAAAACACATGTAAAATGACACGTCGCTAACCTGTTTCTTTTAACAGTTTTGTTTGGGAAATGGGAAGTAGTGAAGGTACTGTACTGTATTTGTTGATATTATCGTTTGCATTGACAGAATATATAATATAACCAGTCCTACAATCAGTGATACTCGAGGGGAAAATAATAGTATGTTATTATTGTCGACCTCCAAATTGTGAAATTGGACATATACTAAGAAAATTTTAAGACAAAAGTTCTGTGTGGCAGTGAATTCAGGCATGTACAATACTTCAAAATATATATATATAAGAGTTATTTTGGGAACCCTAGTTGCTAGCAGTGCCTATCCTCCCAGTTATGATGTGTGCTCAAGCTGCATTCAGAGCATGATTCCATGCAGATGCTCCTCTAGTCAGGCTTCACCCAGAACACTGCTCACATGCAAGGTCCTTGTCAATTTTGAGCCATGCCTTTGCCAGGATCTTTTTAAATGATCTTGCCAAATAGTTTAGGGGCAGGAAAATGGGTAGAGAGCATCTCTAGATACACAGTTCAGGGATGATTTACTATTTGTTAAGACACCAAAGAGCATGGCAAGCTTCTTGACACCACCATCAAATGATAATTTGCAGCAGATGGTATAAACCGATTATACCTCTGCAAACTTTTGAGGAAACTAGTTGCCACCTGACCACCACCAGATGGCAGTCAGGTTGCACTACAGGGTTGGAGGAACGTGCACTCTCCTAATTTAAACTCAGGCTCTGCGAGTTTTTGGGTTTTTTGGTCTTCTGTTTAGTACAACTGTGTTTCTTTTTGAGTGTTTCTGGGTGTGCTGACCTTTTCCAGCAGGTTTTTTCTTTTTCATAAGGGTAATTTCCTTGTTTCTTTGGAACCAGTCATCAGGGGGCCCTTGAGCATTCTCTCCTTAATTTTAGACGTTTTTCTGTTCGGGTACTATTTTAGTTTGTTGGCTATTTAATTGGTAATGTGCTAAGATGTTTTGTGGCCTCAGCTTTCATGTGCTAAAGTTTCTATCTTTTAGATACTGTACTTACCATTCTCCACTGGGTAAAAATTTTAACCAGCATCAGTTTTTTCTCTCTTGGACTTCTTGGTGGCTTCATTATCTTCCTGCAGCCCTACCTGACATTGTTCTCTCGCTTAGGTTATAAACAAGGTGGACAAGGAGAGCATCTTTAAACTTAGAGAAAATATAACAAGATGACATCAGTGGGAGTTGGTAATGCATGAGAGTTGAAAAAGTGCAAGGGATTATTTAAGTTCTGTATGGGTGGTCAACAAGTGTGCTTGCAGGCAAAGTCAGCCCTAAAAGATGCTGTAAGAGTCACCTCCATCCACAATTTCAAGAGCAAATGCAATACAGAACTTAAACATCAAGAAATATAAAAATAAGCTAGATATAAAAAGTTAAGTCACACTCCACGTACACACTGATAGACACATACACTACCACCCTCACACTCTCTTAAATTGGGGTATGCCTGTGATGTAGAACATTATGATGCTTGGGAATGCATTACAGTATATAAGGGTCATCTGTACATTATGATGCCTTACAAGTGATATATTAAGGCATGGGAAATTTGTAACTAGTATGTACAGTATGTTATCTGCATGGTACAGGTTTTTAATTATATATTTAATCTTAAGTTGGTAATTTTTATAAGCATTTTGAAGTTTTTTCTGTGAAGTTTTATTCTGTCAACAGGAAATACGGCTTCAGAGGCTTGTTCAAGGGTCTGGAAGCCAAGATTCTGCAAACAGTGTTGACAGCTTCACTTATGTTTGTCTTCTATGAGAAGATTGTCGGCTTTGTGTTTGCCATTCTTACAGGCAACAGGAAGACCACCATTAAGCATTAAATTGTCTTCTAGTCATTATAGTTATAATAGTATGCTGATGAATTCCAGTAAAGCTATCTATTTAGTTATGGAATATGCTTTGTCTTCAGGGACATTAATTAGTGATTTTAGGTTTTTAGAATGCTTGTATGGTGGGCAGTTGTTCAAGACTGGCCATAGTTTGATGTATGCAATTGATGGTTGTTTTAAGAGAGTGAGTAATATTTATGTAGACCGATGCGAATTGTTATTGATGTGTGTGAGAGAAGAGTTTTAAAAGTGAATGTGTACTGAAATAAAGTTATGGTGGTAGGGAGAGAAAGAAAGTTTGTGTTGAGTAAATATTGAAGCTGTACGATGAGCTCCAACCTGGACTTGTCATGTCCTAAAAGTGGTCAATCAGTTTTTAATATCTGGGTATATGTGATTGATACAGAAGGAATTTGGGAAAACAAAGTTGAATGTAGTGTGTTATGGAAAGGAAGTGACTGGTGGAATGACAGCCATGGTTAGAAGAACAAGATAGTGGGAGATGAAACAAGAGGGTTGTATAAATTAGAGGTGGTGTATACACCCTTAAAATTCCCATTGAAGGGGAACAGAAAACCTGTACTTAGGCTTATTGAGATCCCCCTAGGCCAACTACAGTGTATTGACTTTATCCATAATGCAACCCACAACAATTGCCTAAGTCCCAGGTACCTATTTAACTACGAGATGAACAAAGGCATCAGGTGATAGGAAACATTCCCAACCGCTTCTATCCTGCCCGAGGATTGAACTCGGGTTCCTCAGTTCCTCAGCCAAGGAAATACACCATATACACAATTTGGTGTGATATGAATATAAAAAATCAAGAATTAATGTAGTAGGGTTTTATAGTCTGATAATCTTATGTAGTATTAAGAACATGAGCATACAGGAAACTAGAAAGCCTAATGGCCCATATGAGGCAACTCCTATCCATCCAAAACTCCTCATCCAACCAAACTCATTCGTATATATGTGTAGCGTGTGCATGAAGCAGTACAGAGATCCTACATCTATTATTTTACCGGTAAATTGTTCCATATGTCGTCCACCCTAATTTCAAACCAGTATTTACTCAGGTCTTTCCTGAATCTAAACTTAATCAACCTGTATCCATTTTTTTTCATATTTCAGATTCTTTTATGACAATAAGATAAGCAATGAAAATGTCATAAGATGTGTAGTAGAACAGTTAATAAAATACAAGATTGAGGAGAGTGTACTGCAATGGTTCGGTTACATTGAATGAATGAATGATGATAGACTGGTGAATTTGAGTGTAGGAGGGGGTTGAAGGCCTGGAAGAAGACAGGTAGACACGATGTGTGTGAGTGTGTGAGAAGTGTAAACAACACACAGGATATGGTAGGGGAATTATGCTGGGTGTTGATGTGGAGGGTGTGAATATGTTTTTATTGTATATGACAGCTCATAAGCACTATGATACACTTAGGCTTATGTGAGAGGTGGTGTGCTTGTGGTGAGGCTTTTCCTCCTTGAGGCTACCCAGTGGGCAATACATGCTTGAGTGAATATTTAATGAACAATAAGATCGACAGTGATTAATCTTTTATGCAGTATCGTTTGCTAGGAAGATGCTTTTTTTTTTTTCTCCGGGCTGATTCATCCCTTCTAGTGAAAGTGAGACTGGGGTTAATGATGATAATTATAATGTCTTCTAAATCCATTTTCAAGGAAAAAGCTTTAGAAATGTCAGGTTAGATACTAATAATTGATACATTAGATATTAATTATGGGTAGGTTAGCTATGTACTAATAGAAATAATTTTGTATACCATACCTTTCTGCAGTTTTAACACAGAACGTAACTGAAACTCAACAACACGATCCCTATTATGTGCAGTATTTGTTATGTTATTTAGTTTTGAAGGCAAACTTGTTTACTATCTGTACAATAAACGTTTTTGAAGTCATTCTGTAATACAGTACTCGTTTGTATTACAGAATGACTTCTCTAATACTCTTGGCAGTATTTTAACTGAAATATTGAGAAAAATCTCACTCATCTGTGTTTACTCTCCATTCTTTGTGTCGTTGATGACTTGCTCTCCATGGGAATGGGCATTAGATGTAGTAAAGTTTTGATTATTATCAATAGGTTTGCTTCTACTGTATGTAGAAAATGGATATTGTTTATCAATAAAATTGCTTAAAAAATCCTGAATCTGCATGTATGCTGCACTGGGAAAAGGTGCTGGGTTTAATTTGAATTGTGAGTGTGTAATATATGCTAGAATTTGGTATTCACTTATATTTAGAATTTCATATATGGTTATTCGGTCAGTTTCATAGTTTCCATATTGAAAGTATGACAGCACATAGCCTATCTTAAAAAAAGAAAATTGTCTCCACACCTTAAAAAACAAGAATAAAGGACACTTCATGAGGCCTATTGGGACATAGTGTCAGCTGCTATTATCCTATTTATATGGCTTTGAAGATCTAACATCAGTGATGAAAATATGTTCCGAAGATTTCTTTTCAGTGTCCTTTAGGGTGCAGTTTGTTAATTTATAGAGTGAGGGATGTGGTACTGTGGCATGGTTGTATAGAATAACTTGGTAATGAAATAGCAGTGAAGAAAGTGCCTGCTGTTATGTATGACCAAATTTTAAGATAGGAAAGTAAAGTAAAGGTCTCGGCAGATATAAAGAGTGTGAAAAAATATCGTCTACTTGTGGCAAATACACACGTCACATTGATGAGACAAGAAACCATTTTTTAGTACCAGTACTGTACTGTATTTTGCAGTCGCATGATTTTTTTAACTGTATTTGCTGGCAGATAGGACACATGTTTTTGGTCCACCACCAACTGTGTGTGTGTATATAAATAAAATAGGGGATACCACCTCTGGTGCAATTGTAAGGACCCATAGCCTTGAAGGAGAAAATAAATAGTATTCAGAGAAGGCCTTTTGGATTCTCACTGAATACTTTAATATTTTCTTCTACCACCCCCATTTTTTTTTTTATTACATTGCTACAGTTTACAGAAAACACACGCACATATATGAATCACTATTCGATGACCTCATCAGCTCTTCGGAGGTTTTATATATACTGTACAGTATATGTTTTTTTATTTATTTACTTATTTATTTATTTATTGTATTTACATGCACAAAATCATATGTTTTCCCCTGCAATACCACTTGAACATCACTTTCAATAAATGTATAGTAGAGTATAACATACTAAAGTTGTTTTGTCCACAAACAGTTTGTGTAAATGAATGGTCTTATGCACAGGCAAATATTGTTGATGTGGAACACTTTTACACCTGGTGTATGAAATCACCAAAATATTGCTGTACTCTCTAAGTTTACCAGTGTGTGTGTGTGTGCTGGTACGGTGTTTGTTTAACTGGGAAAATACCCCAAAAAGTTGGGTGACACATTTGATGTAACTTTTACTTTTTTTTACCCCTAGTATTTTTCATCTTATTCTTGAGGATTACCTTTCCATTCACTGAAACTATAAAATGATAATGTTAATTTTGGACATGAATTTGGACATGATTCACGAAGTGAATTAATCTGCAGTTACTTATGTCAAGATAATATAAAATGCATGAAATGTGAGGGTTGTTGAAGCACATATTCAGGCTTTGGATGACAAAATAGAAGATTACAGAGAATAAGATAATTGTAAAATAAATTGGAAATAATGATGTGGATGGGAAAGTGTAATGCAGTATATATGAAGAATATTGAGCAGTCAATTGTGAGAATGATAAAATAATTAATCACATGTAAACATACTATTTATCAAAATGAAGCGCACAAAGATATGTAATTTATGTTCTTGTATTGTTTGCATGTTTATACAATTTATTATTTAATTTATGGTTTATTTAGCATAAATAACAGGTACCTATTTACTGCTAGGTGAACAGAGGTATCAGGTGTAAAGTACTCTCTAGTCCAACTACTGACCTTCTCCAAGCTGTACGGTACAACAGTTGCCTAACTCCCGGGTTCTTCTTTACTTCTAGGTAAGCAGAGGCATCGGGTATAATAAAATGTGCCTAAACATCATTTCCTCTTCAGGAATCATACCCAGGACCTTTTGATTGTGAGCCAACTATGCAGACCACTGTACCACAGGACTCATTATATTTTATTACATTCACTTGTTCCTTTCCTCACACTTGCCCCTTTATGTGATAGATTAATTATTTGTATAAAAATTAATTACCACACATTTTGTACCTGGATGAGGTTCTGGGAGTTCTTCTACTCCCCAAGCCTGGCCAAAGGCCAGGCTTGACGTGTTAGAGCTTGGTCCAACAGGCTGTTGTGTGGAGCGACTCGCAGGCCCACATGTTGACCACAGCCCGGTTCGTCCAGCACTTCTTGAAGAAAACTGTCTAATTTTCTCTTGAAGATGTCCATGTTTGCTCCGGTAATATTTCTTATGCTCGCTGGGAGGATGTTGAACAACTTTTGACATCTGATGTTTATACAGTACAGTGTTCTCTGATTGTGTTTATGGCACCCCTGCTCTTCCCTGGTTCCATTCTGCATTTTCATCCATATCGTTCACTCCAGTATATATTGGTATTTTACTGTGTAGATTTGGAACCTAGCCCTGCAGAATTTTCTATGTGTATATTATTTTATCTCTCTCTCATCTCCTCTTTAGGGAGTACATTTGTAGAACTTTGAGGCGGTCCCTGTATTCGTTAACACTAACTGTAGATCAGTTTTCTTAGCAGGTTGAAGTTTGTTACTTTTGACTCATGGTTGACCAGACTACTAACCAGGAGGCCTAGTCAGAGACCAGGCTGTGGGGACATTGATCCCTGAAACCAACACAAGATGAACACAAGGTACTAGTTGTCTAAACTGTGAGAGGCATCTGAACATGTGATGGGTTAATAGTTGACGAACACACATGCAGTATTATACAATTACCTGTTTCTTGGTCTTGTGATTATGCTTGTTGTTGGTGTGCTCTGGTACAGTAAATCAGTTTTTTGTAAATATGTAATGTGGGACTCAAACCGAGAGCCATGAAACTTCTCACTACCGTTATAATGTAAGTCTTAGGTATATGCTTAAATAAGTTGCTGAATGTAATAATGAATTTGTTCCTTTTTGGAAAGCTTATACATTATTTAACATTGGTAATACTTTATTTATGTTCATTTTACATTTTTCTCTAATGTATCTGCTTCTTTAAAGGCTATTTACCTCATGCAATATAAACAAATGTAGTAGCTTATTAAACAAATTAATGTGTTCATAAACATGATGAATGCACATAACTTGTATGGCCACAAGATCGTTGTTTTACTCATTATGTTTGATGACCAAACCACACATTAGACAAGTGGAGAAACGATGACGTTTCAGTCCGTCTTGGATCATTATCAAGCCATTTTCACACGGCTTGATAATGATCCAGGACGGATGGAAACATTGTCGTTTCTCTACTTTATGATATGTGGTTTGGTTATTATATCTTCAGCCACCTTATTGTGACTCATCATCCCAATTATGTTTGTTGTGTATTAACAGAGGGTCCAGATTTACCTATTATGTTTGACATATATTAACAGAGGTCCAACTTTAAATCAGTTTTTTTTTTTTATTTTCTTCAGTTCTTAAGGTGTGTGCATGAAATAATTTCTCCGAGGTTTGAACATACAGTAATGTAGTAGTACTGTGATATCTAAGGCTCTATTATTTTTATGACTTTGAAAATGTGTAAAGAAAAAGTTTGGTAATGATTCCAGGGTGTAGGGGAAACACTGATCTAAATCAGATCACATTTAGCGAGTCTATATTCTCAAGAGAAAGTGTGACTCGGGGTATTGAATCCATATTCTCTAGGTATAAGGCGCTGAATCACAACTATGATTCCAGATGTGAATTACTTTCATTGAGAATCATGCTATTTTTCTTTTGACAATTTATCCTCAGAGAATCTCTATTTCCTGACATTAAATTGTTAGAATTCATCTATGATTTTATTAAATGTTTCTGTTCATACATGCTTTTTCTGTCTGATATTATAATGATCAAGTGTGCATTTGTTTACCCTCATGATTGCATTCGTTTTTGGAAATATTTTTTAAGGTCACAGGCTTCTCTTGTTTTTCCTATTTGACTTTAATATTTGATGCTGAGGTGAAGTTGTCCTCTGTTTCTAGGTTTATGGTGATAGCCGAGTCTGGACCAATTCTTCATGGTTTGTACTATTTTACTTCCTGGTCTGTGCTGATCTGCAGTTGGGTTGTCATGAGGATACTTAGTAGCAGGTGTTTTGGTTTGCAATGGGGTTTAGTCATAATTGTAGCCTACAGCTAAGAACCTTGGAATTTAGTCTTCCCTTTCATACGTTATTATGGAGTGAAGTGCCTAGTGACCTTATACTGATCAGTGTGGTCTTTCTAATTTGCCTCTCTGCTGGAAAAGTATGTCAATTTTTTTTGTTATTGGAAGAAAGTGATAAGCCGGTGTTACAATATTATATAGCACATGCATGGGATATGAGGACAGAGGGAAAGAACAGTGCCCAACCCCCTTGGACTACTGTGGATTGAACGCTGACCTGCCTGAAGCAAAGTCATCACTGTACTGGCTGGTCCAAGTGGCAATGCATTTCTGAAGCTAGCATGTTACATGATGAATCCTGAGAGCCATTCCTTTGAGCACTAGGTTCTTAACACATGCAGGCATGACTTGTTGCGTTTGGGTGACTGTTTGTGCCTCTTGGTATGCATGCAACTTTTGAAGCTGCTGCCAAATTACTGGCTTGTGTACGGTCCTCTTGGAATTTTATAATTCTGAAAGTTGAGGTGGACATTCTGGTTTATTTAATTTTGTCACTACTGTACAGTATTTTGAAACTGACAGTGCAGGCACTTCTGAGCTTTTACTGTCTATAGTGGCAACTTCATCTGTTAGGTGGCCAGCCTATCGTCCACCTCCTCTGCCTATGGATCCCAAAAGACTTTGGTCTGTACCCATGCTTTTATATGAAAAATGGTGAGCTTTATGAATAGCAGGGTCATACAACATTGATAATAATTTGACAAAATAATTTCTCTGGATGACACAAGTGAATGATGTTAAGCTCAAAGTTCTGGGTTGTGTTTTATGTGAATTATGTTTAAAATGCTTGAGTGCATGTGTACAGCCTTTTACCCGAGGGGGGTCACCAACTATGTACTGGCCTTGTCGGGGGCTTGTCAAAAGTAACCCCACTGTTCTTGAGGATTTTCTCCAAGTGGATTTTCAGTGGTAATAATGTCTTGTAATTTATGGATTCCTTTTTTCTTAATGTTTATGTATTTAGATTTCTATACTGTATTATAATATAATTGATTTATTTTGGAACTGTTCAGAGGTTATACTGTGTATTGTGGTCCATCGTGTAGTAAATAATTTGCATCAGAATTTATATTATATCTATTTATAAAAGCACAGTACAAAATTACAGTATTTACATTTCCATGTTCCTCAGTGTACTGTTTATTGCTTACCAGAACCCTGAGGTGGGGGCAGGCCAAGCCAAAATGAGCCCAACTACCGGTAATTAGTGATATTTTGTTTAATTATTTTTGACAAACTTTGGTTGTGATACCCACTTTAAGCTGATGCTGTTGTGATACCTACAGTAGACATGCTAGTCTGGACTTGAGGAATTTTCACAAAGCAATTTTCTTTTTAAATAGTTAAGAAGCATTCCAAAGAAAAAGAACAATGATGAATATCCTCAGATTATAATACTGTAAGAATGTGCCATTTATTTATAATTTGACATGTTTGTTTTCTTGTCATGTGAGTAATGTATACAGTACTGTACATGTTTAAAATGTGTGCAATTTGTTTATATAAATGAGTATATGATGTATCACAAATGCTTGTGAACAAAATTTGCTTTATTGCACAACCAGGTGTGGTTATAGCATGCTAAATTAGATTTTTAAGGCAAGAAACTGTCATTAATTTTATATCTAGAATAAAATTGGATTAAATTGACCGAGTGTTAACTTACATAGGAGGCTAATTCAAGTTTGTGTGAGGACTTCGTATTTTAACTATATTCTATCTTATTTTCATGGTTATAATAAATTCTATGCAATCAAACCCTTTAATGTTGAGTTCTAATCTTCTGCTGAACATTTTGTGATTTTTTCAGTTCTAAATTTGTTCTAAAATGCACGTGCATATCAGCATTCAACTGATAAATTTCCATAATTTTCATCTTTCAATATTAGTTTACATATTCAGATTTATGCAAATGTTCACCATGATATCTAGCCCAGTGTCATATTTTTCACTATTTCTACCACTGTACTGGCATTCTGAGTGACATTTTTCGAACTCTTTTTTGTGACAAGTCCCCCCCCCCCCCACACACACACATGGATGCCACCAAAAGCTATGAGGAGGCTAGGTACCTCTTGTACACTCTCACAACTTAAAATGTTGCTCTGATCCTGCACAGCCATAAACATTGCCTGAAGGTCCTCGACCATCAGCTGCTATCGTGTTTTACCTCAACTCTGCAACTTGCTGAATTTCAGCAAAAATCTTCTACTGGAAGATATGGTAGGTCATTCCTTGCATAAACTTGTACTCATCGACTTCTCATAACTGCCAGACACGGTGTGCAACTTCAAATTCACTAAAATTCTGAACCTTACCTCTGCATGACCTCCCCCTACCGACGATGTCGAGGAACAGTGGTGTCATCTGTCATCATTGAGAGCTCTGTCGGCAAAACACCCTGCCCCAAGCCACACATTCTCAATATACAGTATATTGATCTTGAATGTCTAGACAATTGATCAAATGTATAATAGGAGTAATATGAACACACAAATAGACCCATATGAGGCTGCTGCTATTTATGTCCATATATATGGAAGCTGCCTCATATAGGCCCATTTGAGGCAGCTGAAATTTATATCAATATAAATAGGAGCTACCTCAAATAGGCCTATTGGACCATATGAGGGAGCTCCTATTTACAGTATAGTATATCAATATAATAAACAGGAGTTGCCTTGTATTGGCCCATACAAGGCAGCTCCTATTTATATCGATATAAATAAGAGCTACCCTGTATAAGCCAATAGGCCTTCTGTGATTCCCTTATTCTTATATCCAAATGATATTTGGCTGACCTGCATTTGGTTGGGAGTGGATGCATTTCTGACTACTGTACATAACATTAGCGAGCGGTGATAAGGAGGTTGACTTCATACCAACCTTTATTTTTTATTTATAATACAATATACAGTACAAGAGTTCTTACATTCTTGTACAGCCACTAGCACTCATAGCGTTTTGGGCAAGTCCTTAATTCTAATTTTCCCCGAATACTCCCCTGCCAAATCGTAACAACCAGGTACCCATTTTACTGTTGGGTTAAACAGAGGCTACAGTTTAGGATTTGCGCCCAGTAAATCCTCCCCGGCCAGGATATGAACCCAGGACAAAGGGCTCGCGGAA